GAAATGTAGGCAGTTAGAAACATGGGGTTACATAATAAGACCAAAAGAGATGAAGTCAATGGGAAAACAACGTGGCAGTCTCATCAGCTGTGAAATCTGAGATCAGTGCGTCAAAAAACGAGATTCATTGGCTTCTCTTATAAAGCCTTACATTCATTACGCAGTACTTCACTGTTGGTAACAGACCGTAAAGGCATTCATTAGGAGCCATGGTAAAAGATTGTTTCCTGGAGATTAGGCCTAGTCTAGACTGCCACTATTTTTTGAGTGTCCCGGCACAAGCTTTGTCACCCCACATCAAGAGAAGTTTAACTGTCAAAAGCACATTGAGACTCCCGTGTTCTGTTTTGATGGAAAATACAGTTCATTCCAAAGAATCAGTTCATTCAGATGGTTCATAATGCAAATGAACTCAATAAAATACGAATGAGTGATAAATTTGAGTCCCTTAGTGGTATTCTGGGTCTTTCTAATCGCAAAATATTTGTTTAAATCCTTCTTATATTCACTACATTTCAAATTAGGATGTATTCTATACCTTTATTTGTAAATAGTTTTAATATCCTAAATGTAATGTCACCCCAAACAACATTCACTCAAAATCACTTGTTTTTGTGTTCGATAATGTAACTCTGATTAAATTATACATTGTAACAAAGTTATATATTTAGATATTTATGTTTAAAGTAAACTATTGTTCAAAAGTTTGGGGTCAGTCAGATTTAATCAGTTGTTACTCCAAAATTTTAATTTATTACTCATTACTAGTTACTCCTTTCAAAAGTAATATTATTACTTATTACTTTCTGGCTAAAGTAATTAGTTACACTACTAGTTACATTACTTTTCCTTCATGCCACAGTAGTTGTAATTTTGTATCTTCCCCATAAAATTCTTCTAAAATGTTACTAACAATATATTTCTACCTCATCATTTGACCAAAATCTACATTGGATCGCAATCAGAAGTTATTACAAACACTCAATGGTGATTGATAGTGTCTTTTAAGTAAAAGTGTTATATTAATTGTCATGTGTAGCTTGAAGCTAATTAGCTATAATTTCTGTGTTACCCAAATATGATTATATTTCATGAAGCATTTTATCAAAAGAAATCACATAAGTTCATAAGATTTTTCATTATAGTAATAAAATGTATTCCATACTGCCACAGCTTACAAATCTGTGCTCAGATCACCTTTTCTCCTGAAAAAAATCAGTGTAATGGCAATATTTCCATCCCCTGAATGTAAGCTTTTCCATATTCCAAGCTTTACTGATGCACTGGTGACTTCATGTGCCTGTGCGAGTCGTGAAAATTATGAAAATAAATCAGGAATTATTGGATTGTTGGATTTCAAATCAGTAGGGGTTGAGGCATCAAAAGTACTAAGTAATAGTACTTCTCACTGCAAGCCTATAAATATACGCGACGGCTCGTGAAAGTAAACATTGTCATTTTGTTTTGCATAATTTTAATAAAGTGATAAAA